TGGTAGCCTTATAGCAAACTCTCAAAAGCAAATCAATAAATCAGAAAGGAGTTCTACTGAGCGCTAGCTTTATTTAATATTTTAAAATACCAATTATGTATTGTAGAAGTTTAAAAGAATCCATGTAATGGGGGGCGGACAACACTAAAAAGCAAAGATCAAATAGATAAATGTGTTAGTGGCAAGTTGTAAAATTTTTAGCCCCTAACGCAAGTACGGTTTGGGCACCCATGTGTTTGGAAGGTCCTTTCATTTTTTAAAAAATGGAAATAGAAAGCAAACAGGTTAAGTAGTAGGAAAACTTTCTTTGCCTTCCAAAAGCACCAAAGTTCTAGTAACTTTGCTCTCTTCCTTCTTTAAGGATCTTGAAAGGCACAGTGGCCCACAGGCCCAAAACGAAGCAGTTCTCAAAGGCAAGTCTGCCATTAATTGTTTTAGTCTGGCTAACGGTCTCTGAGATTCCAGCCAGGTGGGTGACCCAGAAGGCTGGCTTCACAGGCCCACCTGTGACCGCTTTTGGCAATGGGCAGGTTGGCCACGTGCTCTATTTGTGGCTTCTCCCTAGAACTGGTTCACCCATCCATAACTATGGATTTTAACTATGACCAAAAACACATAAAATACATAAAAGGCGGGGCCCAGACTTTGCAAATGTGATCAAAGGGGAACTTTTCCCATCAGGAGGCCTTATTCTGGGTAATTTATTGCTTTGGCCGATTTTTGGCATACTGTGTGATCTATAAACAATCGCTAACACCAGACAGGATGTTAATTACATGATGCAGTGATTTAGACATGATGTGTTAGTTAGCATTTCCTTAAATTGTTTAATTGTTTCTCAACCCCCTGTTAACACCTTTCCATAAATGGAGTGAAATGGTGACTTTGAGAGTTGATCTGTTGTTTGTTCGGGTGTCTAATCTAGCTCAACATTAAATGTGTCCTACGTAAACCCAACGATTTAAAGTAAGCCCTTTAGTTCTTAGTGTCTGTCTCCCTGTCACTGTCACCTGAGGACCTCAGCACTCTCCACTCCACTGGCTGAGGGTTGCCCTTAAAAGATAAAGAAGATCGGAGAGAGATGTATTTATGACCCTAAATACCACTTGTCACATGTTTTAAAGGCCTAACACTGATCTGGAAATGCTATCAGATAATGTTTGGAAGTATCACTTTAAAGTTACTCGATCTTCTTACAATCATTCCAGAGATTTGAAAAATAACTGATTTATCATATCAACCATAATTTCTTCCTAGAACTACATAGATCACTTCAGGATTCACGTGGGTATTTGAAACTGGAAGCCAAAATAACTTGCAAAATATTTATTTTACGGATTGCCATTTAAGTACACTATAAAGTTTGTTATTTGTTTAAGAAATATCGGATGGAGTGGGGGAAAAAAAAAAAGCCAAGTGGATACATTAGGGTCAAAGCACGTATTTGGTAAAAACCTTACGTGTGACAATTTAATGTAACCAAAGAGATCACAGGTTCCTACACAAGTAGTAGCACAGGCGTCTTGGTGGTGTCATTTTTTTCCAGTATCTCTAGGAATTTTGGAAAGAGTAATAATGCCTATTATGAAAGCACTTGGGTGTAAAGTTCCAAGTTTTAAGAATTCTACATTCCTTTCAATTTTCATTTGCAAGAAAAACAAATTGCCATTTTCACTGAAGGATACCAAACATTTTAGAACTACGAAGTTGATTTCTATATACATCTTAGATAAGCAATTCCAAGAATAATTATAATAATGCAAAGAAGCACTGATTTTGGTTTTGCTTTTTTTTGTTGTTGTTTTTAATGAAAGTCCCCATCAGTGCCCACTGGAAGTTCTACTAGAAGATGACAACCATGTTACAGCTCTTGGTCATTATAAACCACTTTGAGTGGCACTGAGCCACTGTAACAGACTCATGCAAATCATGGCTTGGGTTGAGAGGCTAAAAACAGTACTAAAACATTTGCAAGCTTACCATGCTATACATTTAATTGTTCTCCTAACACAAATCAGCAGAGCACAATTTAAATCTTCCCTATAAGTGTTTAAGACACGCTTCCCCACACATATTCAAATCTACATGTGGAATTTTCAAAACAAATGGATTTTTCAACCACCAAAACATTTAACAACCATTCCAAATCAAGGATTTTCACTAGCATTTCCTGTAGCTGAATCTATTAAGCAATTATGCATCGGTGGCACTGAGTAAGAGTAACCTAAATTTCCGCACTAATGATATGCACTCATTATTCTGATATTTATTAATTCTAATTTTTGCAGATCACAATTCCTTTCGTCCTTGAAGCTAAGCTTATTCACAGAATAAACGATACAGCACACCTATGCATGTCACTGGCTCAGCTAAAATGGTGTCCAAATGAACACAACTATTCCAAAGTTTTACATTTTGAAACTAGTTTAGCTTTTGGTTTTAAAATGTAACACACACAAAAAATTCGACCCCATAATAACGTTAACTAACATTTTTTTCAATGCCCCCTGCCCCCCCCCAAAAAAAAAAACATCAAACAAATCAGCTAATTCTATCTGTAAAGAGCAACTTGGACATACCTCACATGGGGCAGTTCAAGGTTTACACAAAAATGCTACCTCTGCCAAAGCATTTGGCAATCAAAGACATGCAATGTGTTAATTAAGTGGAATAAATGTCTTTTGTCAGTTTCCTCTTTGTAACAAACTGACATCAAGGAAAAGCGTTTCTGAAGAGCTTAACCTGAGAAGCCAGAGCCTGTGCTATCTTCAACCCTATCTCCAGCGAGTGTAAACCCCCCCGGGCAGGTATTTGAGACTCAGGCCCCAGAATAAAGGCAAGGCCTCCCATGAACAGGGAATCCAAGAAGAGATCATTCTGGAAGATTAACGGCATCCCCTTCCTAGTTTCAAACAGGCATGAGTTCACCAAGCAGAAGTGATTAAACCTGATCCTGTCGGATGGCAAATTAGCCTGCTAAGTAAAATGGTAGCAATTCTGTTCCCCGGAGAAAAGCCAGAAACTTCTTTCTGAGGTCAATATCTCATGACCGACTGGTAGACCACACAGTGGCAAATGGAAGCGCGAAGAAGAGACACATCTAAATGCCACTTTGGCCTTAGCACAAAGCACCTGACTAGTGATTAACAAAGTTCCCAACTGCTGAGTTGCTCAAAGTGGGGGGTCTGGGGCGCAGACCACACCCCTGATCTGCTGTCACCGGTCACACAAGAGATAAAGACCGAAACTGAGAGAAGCATTGAGAAGGAGCAATTTGATATCTGTGAAATAAAAAAAAAAAAAAAAAAAATCCCAATCTTGCATTTTGTGTATCTCTGTTCTTTTTCATTTCACTTTTCTAGTAATCGGTTTTCACTGTATTTTTGCAAGACGTACTGATCCACAAGGAATTGGGAATCCTAGGGTGAAAAAAAATCTTTTTCCATAGCCAGGTGGAGAGTAAAGTTCTGCACGAACAATGTGTGTACAATGCTTTTGCAAGGATGCTATTTACCCGCAGTCATCTCTGAAATGAGTTGAATATTAAGATTTTTCAGAAGCAGATAATTTTGCCTGTGTGTAATATACTAAGCTCCTCTGATTAACATTGAAATTAATGAGGGCCAATGAGATACCATATAATCAAAACCGTTCCCTGGAACTGAGATAATAATTAACACGATTCCCTTGGAAGAGGAGAGTCCTGTGGTCAAACCAGTTTGGGATATACATTGCATCCCGCAGCCCCTCCTGGGGGGGTGTGATACGCATCAGCATATTAAAGATTCTGGAAAGACCAATAACACAGAAATGTGTTTAATGACACGAATGTGACCCTCTTTATCTAAAATCCTATTAACATCTTATTCAGAATATACACATTTTTGAAATGCTGATATAGTCAAACAACTCCAGATTAGCAATTAAAAACTCTGTCCCGGTGTCTCTTAGGAGTTGATTCTTTTCTTCCTGTATAAAGAACCTCAGCACGAAAGGAGGTAATTGTGCAAAATCACCTCCTACGGCAGGTAAGTGGCTTCGGAGCAAGGAATTGGCTGCAACACCCCGCTGTAGCTCGACACACATAAAGCGCCCGGCACGGTTGCTAAGTTGTTGTCTAGGGAATGTTCCAGGTTGTCCCCTCATGCCCCGATACCCAAGATGGCCAATTCCAGTGGTCATCTGCTGGGCCACTCCCCTGGAATTCCGAGTCTTTGGAGGTCTCCCTTACTCTGGCAGGTACGTGTGGCAGGCACCTGCCCGCCCTGCCAAAGACATGCAGATGGGACCCAGAGTAGAGTCAGGACAGACGCCTTGAACTTGGCAAAAGACTCCAGCCAATGATCGGGCTCCCCCTCCAGACTCAACCTTGGGGCAGATATTTCTGTAGGAAGTGGTGGGGGTTGGGGGAGTGGGACCCTGGCCATGCAGGACTCAGGTGGCCAAGACCACAGCCATCTCCCATTTTCAGTGACCTGCCACCTTCTGCTCAGTCGTGACCCGCTGAGCTGGATCGATCCTGCACTCATTTAGCGGAAGAACAATCTAGACACAAATAATATCACAACTTGGGGAGGAAAAAAAGCAATCATGTCCAAGAGTGACAACATCTCTTTCCCACCTAACACTGTCACCCGGCTCCTAGTCACCCTCTAGCTGCCCATTTCACCAATCAATAATAATAATGATACATTTTCCCTCAAACAACTGCTATTTTCAACTTCTAGGGCTCCTCTGTTCGTTTCAAAGGCAGCACCCAGACTGTGGGCCACTTCTGCAAGGTCATGTGGTGAGTGAAATGTAGGACAAGGAATCCATTCTCTTGCACACCCTCGTAACCACCAAACCACGAGGTCCCTGCTAAGGTCAGAATTATCATGAAACGTTATTGACAGAGCACACAACGAGCTCGGTCCTGCAGCTGGGAGGAACACGAGCCTCGAGTTAAAAATAATAAAAAAATAAATAAAAAAGATAAGCAGCCCCTTCGTTTTACTTACTGTTCACGTAAACATTAAATGCTACGGAAGCGTTGACGTCAGAGTTGGACACCAGGAAGGTGTAAGTGCCACCTTCGGTCCCTTTTAGTCTGGTGAGGTGAAGTTCACTGACATACCTACGAAGAAAGGACAACAGACCAATCAATGACCTGCAGGTGGCCTCGGAGGGGGGACGTGTCTTTTTCAGTTTCTACCTAGAAATACACGCCCTGTTTGGGGGAAAAATGTGACCCAGTTAATTCGGTATTAATGAAATCTACAATAACCGATACAAACACACACCCACACACAGATGCCATTTGGGGACAACTGGCTGTCGCGTGAGCACGCAAAGTGGCGGAAGGTGACTGTGGCTGCTCCCTCTGCCCACGGTGCTGGGTTCCACTTCCCTCTGGCCACTGCCCTCAGCTGCCCTGCCTGCACCCACCTGCCCCCTGCCCGCCCGCAGACACCTCCAGGCACTCTGAGCGTGTCTACACTGCTGCCCCTGTCTACACCGCCTTCCTTCTCCCAACGCCACAAGCTCCTGGCTAGGACCCCGAGACTTGTCCCCAGGGTCCCCTTTGCGGCCCACGCTGTTCGAGTTTCTGTTTCACTGTAGGGCCTGCGGATTGGGCTGTGTAGACGGAGCACTCTGCAGCCCTTGGGGGAGTTAGAGGCAGGGTCTCCAGCGGGGGCGTGTCGCCCTGGGCAGCCCACGACCCACTTGGGTTTCACACACGCTGCACCATAGGCAGTGGCCTCGTGCAGACTCTTCTCGCACCCGTGAGCTCCCTGCAGCCCCCCTCCCCCCCTCCCACGCTGCAGGTCTCTCTGTCCATAAAGCCCTGGGCTCCAAATCCTTGTCTCAGGCTCCGCTTCTAGAGGGCTTGACCTCAGACACTTCCCACCTGCTGGACGTCTCCACCGAAGACCCCACTGTCAACCTCAAAGCCCACCAACCCCAGCCTGAACTCACCATCTTGCCTCGGCCACGTGCCCCTCTTCTTCCTCCTCCTCCTCCTCCTCCTCCTCCTCCCCTCAACGGTATAACCTCTCACCACCCCAACCTACATGCATCTCCAGGTCCTCCCTCCCTCTACGACCCTCTCAATCCCCTGGACCCCTCGTGCATCTGTCCTCTGTGCTCTGACCCTTAGTCCTTGGCCGGGGACACTAGCATCTCTCGGCCATGTCCTTGCAGTGAGCAAAGCTCCTGGCTGGGAAAACACACCAACGCTATCCAGCCCTTATCAGCCACTTCATCTTGGTCAAATGACTTCACCACTCTGAACCTCAGTCTCTTCGTCTACAAAAATGGGGCACAGAAGAGTTCCCCGCTCTCAAGATCTGTGGGGACTAAAGTCAGTGAGTTAATATACTTCAGGTACTTAGGACCACGAATGATGGAAAAAAAGCATGTGCAGCTTACATGAAGTGTTCCCATCGCTGCTGTTTTGACTGCAATGTTTTAAGGATCAAACGAGAGGTCTGATGGAAAAGAACTTGGGTGGGTTCACGGCCTGGCCCAAAGCTACTGAATGATTCTCAGTTTTTCTTAGAGTTTTAAGACATGATGAAAGGTACTAGCTTCTTATTTCTCGGAAGAGAATTATTATTATTATTTTTTTTTTTTTGAGACAGAGTCTCACATTGTTGTCCAGGCTAGAGTGAGTGCCGTGGCGTCAGCCTAGCTCACAGCAACCTCCAACTCCTGGGCTCAAGCAATCCTCCTGCCTCAGCCTCCCGTGTAGCTGGGACTACAGGCATGTGCCACCATGCCCGGCTAATTTTTTTTTTTCTATATATATTAGTTGGCCAATTAATTTCTTTCTATTTATAGTAGAGACGGGGTCTCGCTCTTGCTCAGGCTGGTTTCGAACTCCTGACCTTGAGCGATCCTCCCGCCTCGGCCTCCCAGAGTGCTGGGATTACAGGTGTGAGCCACCGCGCCCGGCCTCGGAAGAGAATTATTGACTGTGTCCTGCGTGTATGCCAGTCACTGCTTGGAGCCATCCTCAGAACTCTACAAAAGAACCAAGCTCCTTTTTACAACTGAGGAAACTGAGGCTGAGTTTGTGTGTGCACGTGAGTGCTCTAAACACGCAGCATGATGGAATACTCAAATGAGGATTGAAGAGGAAGCCATGGGCTTCCTTTCCGTACCAAGTGTCTTCTCGTGCATTTATGGGCCACAGAAAACAGATCTGGCTGGCGCAGTGGAAAAGCAGGGAACAAAAGCAGCCCCCCAGGGCAAGGTCCTGGTCTCACCTGATGTTACTTTCATTCTGGGACTTGGGGTAATCTTCCCATTTATCAGTGAAGGTTCTGTTCATGTAGATCCACTGCTGGCGCTCAGGTCTGGGGTACGCCTCGTACTCAACAACCAAATCCACGTTTTCTCCGTCATTCACGAACATCGTAGTGTTCATCGTGGGGAAGACGTGAATGAAGCCTTTGTCTAATCAGAACAGAGTAAGACAGAAAGAAACCGTCATCCCCCACAAAAAAAAAACACCACCTCATCTCGGAATGACAAAGATAACTGACTGATTACTGGTATGAGCTGGCAGTAACAAGTAAGAGAATTTTAACTGGCCATTTTACATCATATTTTGCTTTTTTAATAGAATCACTGTCAGTGAGTAAGGATACACACACTTGAAATGCTGATTCTCCCATCTCTGTCTCAGAAGCAATTCTCTCTTTTTTTTTTTTTTTGAGACAGAGTCTCACTTTGTTGCCCAGGCTAGAGTGCTATGGCGTCAGCCTAGCTCACAGCAACCTCCAACTCCTGGGCTCAAGCGATTCTCCTGCCTCAGCCTCCCAAGCAGCTGGGACTTCAGGCACGTGCCACCATGCCCGGCTAATTTTTTCTATATATTTTTAGTTGGCCAATTAATTTCCTTCTATTGTCAGTAGAGATGGGGGTCTTGCTCTTGCTCAGGCTGGTTTCGAACTCCTGACCTTGAGCGATCTGTCCGCCTTGGCCTCCCAGAGTGCTAGGATTCAGGTGTGAGCCACTGCTCCCAGCCTGAGGCAATTCTCTTAAATTGACCTGTCACCTTAAAGTCTTCTAAATCTACCAGTCTTGATGTTTATTAGGTTTAAAAGTATTTTGACTAAACAGTTAGCCCATACCCAGACCCCATTATAATTGTGTACGTGTTAAGGTGTCGTAAATCAGTAAGGAAAAGAGCACTCTAACGCTTAACAAAAATGTTAAAAGAATGTCCTTTAGTATTTAAAGAAAAATAAACTTAGGTCTCCTAATCCTATTGCATATGGCAGATAAATCAGAGACAGCATTTTAACAATCAAACTGTATTTTAACTAAACAACAGAATTGACTCCTATCAAACTTCTACAGAAGAGGCTGTCTTTTGGGCTTTGTAGAAGCAAGAGAAGAAAAAAAAATCGTCACAGACACATTTGAATATGTAAACATTGTCAAATGTCTGTGTAGTAAAATTAATTAAGGTAACAGGAAAAGAAGACAGTAAAATATAGAAGGAAAAATGTTCAGCTAAACTGGTAATTAAAATAAGACATCATTTTACACTTCTTAAAAATAGCAAAACTAATTTTAAATAAACTCAGTAATTTTGCAAATGTGATAAAAAGTAGCACCCTGAATTACACACTCTAAACTGGCACAATTCTTTCAGGAAGCACTTAGCAATATAGATTTTTTAAAAATGATCTCCTCTTCAATTTAATCCTGTAATTTCCATATGAGAAATCCTTCTTAAAAATGGGATAGATAGGTACATGTCAAGAAAAAAAAAGTGCTTTTTATATTAGTTAGAATAATTATGAAAATGACAAAAAAAAAAGAGAGCTGGTTAAATAAATAATGCAGCTCTTAGAAATGGTTATATAATAAAATTTAAAAGTGCTTTAAAAAAAGGGCAATAAAATAATTGCCAATCTTATTTTTATAACCACCATTTATGGAATGTTTACTATGAGCCAAGAACTGCCCCTAAGCACGTTAGCATACATTTTACTTAATAATTATGATAAACATTTAATCTTACAATAATACTGAGACACAGAGCCTATAACCTCTCATTTTTAGATGAAAAAAAAAAAAAATCAAGGCCTTAAAAGCTAACTAGCAGAGCCTAGATTTGATCCCAGGTCTGTGAAAAACCAAGCCTGGCCTCTTCTTGGTATAGCATACCCTGTGCTATAAAATCTCTATGTACTTTAAGTGAAAGAGAGTTGAGAATATAACTCAAACTGTATATATAGTTAAAACTCTTTAAATAAAAAAAAATATAAGCAATATACCAAAATCTTAAAAATGATTATATCAAGTTATTGGGAATACAGGAGAATTTTAACTTGATTTTTCTACTTTTTAAAAATTTTTTAATTAATTATAAAATTTAAAATTATCATGCATTAGCTTTGGTGCTATCTGGTTAAGTATTTTGAAGGTTGGCATTATAGTCTTTACTGATGTTTAATTTCCTATAGATTCAGAATTAAAAACACAGTCCATATATCTTTTGTCCACTGTAGCAATGAAGAAAAGATTTTTCAGGTGAGAATAAAAAAAATCAACCAAATAAAAATTAGAGAGAGATGGAAACCATCATCTTGTTTTGATGCCTGAATCATATATGATATACCCTCTTGGCATTCTTTAAGAAAACTTAGGTTAATTTTGAGGGAATAAATATTTTATCTGAATGCTACATTGAATTTTCAAGTTCTCAGGGTCTTAAAGACCAGTACACAATGCAAAATATTCAAATATTTCAGATAATACCTGCAACGAAATGATTTCTTGCAATAACCATATACAAAATACTTAAGTGCTGCTGAGTTTCCTATAGTCTAGTTTGCACAATTATAGCAGTATGTCCCAGAATGGAACAGAGCTTCAAATTCATGAAGTGTATGAATTACTAGAACCTGGCCAGGCACAGTGGCACACACCTATGATCCCAGCTATTTGGAGGCTGAAGTGGAAGCATGCTTGAGCCCAGGAGTTTGAGACCAGCCTGGGCAACATAGCGAGACCCCATCTCTAAAAGAATTTTAAAAAAATTAGCCAGATGTGGTGGCATTCTCCTGTAGTCCCAGCTACTCAGGAGGCAGAGGTGGGATGATCACTTGAGCCCAGGAGTTTGAGACCAGCCTGGGCAACATAGCGAGACCCCATCTCTAAAAGAATTTTTTAAAAATTAGCCAGACATGGTGGCATTCTCCTTTAGTCCCAGCTACTCAGGAGGCAGGAGTGGGAGGGTCACTTAAGCCCAGGAGTTATGAGCTATGATCGCCACCAGGACACTCCAGCTGGGGTGACAGAGCAAGAACCAGTCTCCAAAAAAAAAAAAAAAAATTATTAGAACTCCACCTAGATTGTTGTAATACAGAATCAAAGAACTCCATTCAGGTTGTTATGACATAAAGTTCAATGTTTCTTCAAGCACTTCTCCATTAAGAAACTGGTGATGCCATTAACATTTAATCAAGCGCAACCCCTCCGCCTGGCACTTCTATAACATGTATTGCCTTTTCTCCTTTCCACAGCCTTGGGGGTGAGAGGCTGTGTTTCTCGGAAGAGAAAATGTAGGCAGAGTTAAAGCAGGATGCATTTGAAAGTTAAGTGGCAGCACCGACCAACTCAAAACCAGGTCAGAACTTTTTTTGCCACGAAAACAAACAAAAAAATGGGTAAAGAATGGATTAATAAAATGTGGTATATGTATACCATGGAGTACTATTCAGCTCTAAGAAACAACGGTGATATGGCACATCTTATATTTTCCTGGTTAGAGCTGGAACCCATACTATTAAGTGAAGTTTCCCAAGAATGGAAAAACAAGCACCACATATACTCACAGCAAATTGGTATTAACTGAGCAGCACCTAAGTGGACACATAGGGACTACAGTAATAGGGTATTGGGCAGGGGGGAGGGGGGCGGATATATACATATATAATGAGTGAGATGTGCACCATCTGGGGGATGGTCATGCTGGAGACTCAGACTTGTGGGGGGAGGGGGGGAAATGGGCATTTATTGAAACCTTAAAATCTGTACCCCCATAATATGCCAAAATAAAAAAAATTGGGTAACCATGTCAGATGATGAAGATATTAATTAGCTTCACTATGGTAATCTTCTTACTATCGGTATGTATCCCATAACATCATGCTGTATACCTTAAATATACACAATAAAAAAAAATTATTTTAAAGAAACCAACCACCAACCAGTTTGGGACAGTCCCAGAGCCTTGCCCTCTTTCCCCACGCCAATGTATCCAAAATCCTACTCCCAGCCACTGAAAAATCCCTTTGCTCTTTGTCTCTTCCTGTTCCTGTCCCACCTCGACCCACTCCCAAAACAACACAAAGGCAGATTCAGGTTTCACAGCCACAAGTCTTTCCAGTCATACAGTTATAATTCTTGGAAATTGATGAATGGATTTTAAAAATCTGATTACATACAACAATATGCTCAAAACATCCTTACTAATTGCTTTCTGGAGCTAAAGCTGAAGCTGATATATCAACATGCTCCCTAATCAACTTAGCAAATTAGTGCTTATGGAGTTTAATATTTTAAAAGCATAGCCTTCTATTCAAATTAGTAAATGGTTCACAATCACGTTTGGGGACAGAGTAAGTACACTTTCTGTGTGCTGACTCTATAATTGCAAGTAAAGTATCTTTTCTGTGTTCAATCTGGTGAGATACTTCCCATTATAACATGGGCAGAAACACCAAAATTTTATGAGATTCTTGTGGGATAAATCACAGAGCTTTGACACTGCTACATAAATTATTGAAGAAATTTGGGGAGAGGGAAAAGGAAAGATACGCAAACAAATATTGCATCATTTTCTTATTGTTCGTGATGAAGAATTTCACCACCCTGGAACTATTTAATCAAAGTCAAGCACTAGGAAAATGGCTGCAATAAAAAGACTGGAAAATAGATTCCATTCAAACAATACTCAAAAGACAAAAAAACAACAAACAAAAATTGTAAATGAAGTAATTTAAAATTAATTATTATTGTTCTCAATAAATCAAAAGCACGAAGAAACCATGTTCTGCTCTCTTCTAAGTAGATGCTTGGAACGTAGGTATTCAGTGAGATGTGGAAGACAAGGCTAAACTAGTCGTGCATAGTAGATACGACAGGGTAAGGGGACTAACCTAGTATGCTCTGTAGAATCAATGACCCGTGTCCCAGTGCAACTTTTTCCTGAAGGTTTATGCTATAATCTTTTTTTTTTTCAGCATGTTATGGGGGTACAAATGTTAAGGTTACATATATTGTCCTTGCTCCCTCTCCCCCCTCGAGTCAGAGCTTCAAGCGTGACCATCCCCCAGTTGGTGAGCATCGCACTCATTATGTATATATATACCCATCCCCTCCCCCACCTGCCCGACACCTGATTAATGTTATTCCTATGTGTCCACTTAGGTGTTGATCCGTTAATACCAATTTGCTGGTGAGTACACGTGGTGCTTATTATTCCATTCTTGGGATACTTCACTTAGTAGAATGGGTTCCAGCTCTAGCCAGGAAAATACAAGAGGTGCTAGATCACCCCTGTTTCTTATAGCTGAATAGTACTCCATGGTATACATATACCACATTTTATTAATCCACTCATGTATTATTGAAGGGCACTTGGGTTGTTTCCCCATCTTTGCAATTGTGAATTGTGCTGCTACAAACATTCGAGTGCAGGTGTCTTTTTCATGGAGTGACTCTATGCTATAATCTTTAAGGGTGCAGGGCAGGGTGAGGCGAGGAAATGATGCATCACTGGGGAGGAAAAGCCCAATTCAACTCTTACTACAAATGAACTAGAGCCGGGGGGTGGCAAAACCATAAACAAAAAGGCAGAGGGCCCCACCACAAGATCCAGAGTAACACCTGAGGCTCTACACATTTGCGCTCCCTGATAGACAGAATCTACAACCCTTTCCAAACTCAAGTCATTCAGCAAGGATTTGAACTTTTGGAAAGGTTCAACTTCTATTTTGCTTGTTTGGTGGGGTGGGTCGCACAGAGAATAATAACAGGTCTGAAAAACTTCAGGAAGTGCCTTCCACTTTCCTCTATTAAACTGGTAGAATTTGCTTTTTTGTGCTCTAGCTTCAAAGAGGCCACGACGATCGTTTTTATTCATTCATTCATTCAGTGATAACGAAATTCTAAGAAGCCGCTCAACATTCCATTTACATAAAAAGGAAACCATCTAGTAATTTCTTCTTTCACTACTGCCAGTAATTTATACATTCCCATAGAGATATTTACCTACTACTTCCAAGGTTGTTGTGACATTCGCTGATCCAAAAGTATTACTGGCGTGACACACGAACACTCCAGAATCATTAACTCTTGCTGAGCTGATCGTCAGTGTTTCCTGACGTTCATAGTTGAAGTCACCATGATGCCAGCTATTCTGTTTTAGCTGTGCTTTACTCTGCTGGTTTTGCAAGACGAAGGAGGAAAAAAAAAAAAAAAAAGTCAAAAGATTACCATGTAATTTATATTCAAGATCTTTCCTAGATAAATTAAAAATAGCAGCAATTAACTTCTCCATATTAGCTTTCATTATACACTACTTAGGTAAGAATAATAAAGCATCATGACAAGTCTGTCATTGGAACACACTTCATATTACAGGATTATATCGAAAGACAGTCATTATTAACGACTGGGGGAAAAATATGAAAATTCATTTCTTAACCATAGTAGGTATAATTCCAAATTCTCTGCAGTGCTGAATTTTAAGTTACTATAGAAGAAATATTATGGACTACTGATACTTTATTAGATGAGTCAGCATGCTTATGCCATGTCCTGTTATACATTACCTTTTTCTATTCTATGTCCCAAAGATTGAAAGAAAACACATTGTTAATAACAACAAAGTTCTATTTTATTAACATTTATCACTTGCGGGAATGAAAACAGAATCACAATGTCTACAACTGACTTGGAAATTTATCCTACAGTTCTCACCCAGCAGAATTTTGGCAACCACTGAAGGGAATTCCAAGGTCTATGAGACATCTAAGACCAAACCCAAAATTATTTAAGTATGAACTAAAGAGAAAAGGTTGTGAATTTAACTCGTGAGACATCACCATCCCACTCTTATTATTTGTCTGCAGACAAGACATGGAGAGACTCCTTGTATTTATTATAAAATGTCATGGGAAAATCATGATACAAACTAGAGAAGCTCTCTGAAAAGATTAAAGAGAGTCAAATATAGCTTTTTGCATCTTCTAAATTTTCTGCAATGTGCACACATTCCTATTACAATGGAAAAAAAAACAACGAAAAAATGAAAATAAGCAGGAACTGATATTGACATGGAATGAGATCAAAGGTGGTTCGTTGGCCTGACTATGAAGGCCCCTATCTGTCAGTACTGCAAATCAGAATAAACCTTCTGAAAAGCAGCGTGGCAGTTATGTTCATAACCTCTGATCAACTCCAGCAAATTTATCTCAAGGAAATTACTCAATAGAAAACAAAAGCTCCAAGATGTTGACTGTCCTGAAAACTCAGAAATGACCTAACTGTATACCAGCTATAGGCAGCAATAAGAATTATGACTATGAAGACTATAAAGAGAAGTGTTTATATTACTTAAAAGCATAAATTGAATGTACATTAAAATTGTAACCATGTGATTATATGTATATATGGGGGGAAAGAGAAAAGAAATATGGAAAAAAAAAATTCAGGCTATGTAATATTGATAAGGACTAGCCACTTTTGGCTACTGAGCATTTAAAACGTGGTAGTCCAAATTGACTTGTGCTATAAATACAAAATATTTCTCAGATTTTGAAGATTTAGTATGGAAAAAAAATAATGTAAAACGTCTCATGAATAACTTTTATGTTAATCACATGATGAAATGATAATGTTTTGGATATATTGGGTCAAATAAAATATATTATTAAAATCAACTTTACCTTTTCAGTTTTTGTAATGTGCTTACTAAAAAATTAAAAATGACATATGAAGTTCATGTTCTATTTTTATGACACACCATTGCTATCTATAATGGGATTATGCCTATTTCTCTTCCATACCTCCTTCTAAGAGATTCTCTTAATAGTTGGCAGAAATCTGCTGTTTCATAGCATATGATCCATTGTTAAACAGGATGCAAAGGTAAGGTGATGTGACATTTTCAGAATGCCTTTTCCCAGTCCATAGTTTCACAGGCTTCTCTTTTACAAAAACAGAGTGACAATGGGCAGATCACATACCAAATTCTAGATTTAGGGTTATCTTCCTTCCAGTTCTTTCACAAGCCCAAGAGTTCACAATAGGGACCAAAACAGGAACACTGAGCTTGTCAGTACCAAAAAGAAGAGCTTAGTCAAACTAAGCGATGCAGTATCAACACCCAAATTCTCAAGACCATAATTTAGGATACTGTCAAAGATCTAAATTAAATGCAAGTAAAAATACTAGGGTTTAGAAGCATCAGAGAAGCTAACCAGATTAACAGTGTTGCATAAACTCCAAGACTCTCTTATGCTTAAACAAACAATTGCAACAACTCTAAATAGTCATTTTACCCTAAATTTCACTATGAATTAAACTTATTCCAAATAGAACCAAAGATTATGGATTTTTAAAATAATTTAGTACTGCTAACAGTATTCCAAATTAAGCCAAAAGATATCAATAAAAGATTCATGGAGGAACCTTGGCAGAGGGCCACGAGCCCCATCTGCAAATTCACACATCACATATTGTTTGCACGTGATTTGGTTTTCCTTAACCCTTGGAGGTGCACGCTGGGATTTCCCCAAAGGGCTCCCAACGCTGAAGGCTTATCTACCAGAATCAGTGGATTAATTGGGAGTGGCATGCAGGGCCTCCTGGGAAAAATGGTTCAGAATGCAACTGCCTGGGGCAATTTAATTTCTCCTCTCAAAAAGGCTAATTTTCAAGTTATGCAGAGGCTCAAATGCACACAACGCAGTCTAAATTGTTCTCTCATCTGAAATCAAGGATTATAGAAAGCCAATTAATATGGGATTGTATTCTGTAAGGTTAGCCAAAAATCCATACATAAGCTATTGCTTTTATTACATTAGATGACAGGAAAACTGAAACTTGTTTCTCTGAGCCATTGGTTTGAAAGAACAAGTCTATGGTGCGATCCATTCTCTTAGACAATGGTGGGCTTCGTTTAGCAAGATTATCATTCATCACAGGTCTACACCAATCCCATCAGTGTCTTCCATTATGCTCAACACCATGGTTATTTGTTTAGCAAATAATTTTTTAAACAGGCATGAAATTGCCAATGTTGAAAACAGGGCACGATGAGGAGAAGGAGGAGGGGAACAAGAGGAAGAGAAGGAAAACGTAGTATTTCTTTTTCCCAATTTAATGCATGCATGTGTAATGAAGAAAAACCACCGTGATAGCTAATTAACTATTAATAGATGGCCAAGATTACTCAAACAAAAATTACCGAAAACTCAGTCAAATGGGAATTTTAAAGCAGAATATTCGGGAAACTAAGATAGTTTAAAGACCTTGCTATTAATGTGAGTATTTACAGAGAGAAAAAACTTCAACTGTAACTGGCTAAAAATTTATTTAATTTTATAATAAGATATGTCTAAATTGGTAACTGAGATATAGTAAGCATTCAATATGCATTTGGTAAGTGAATGAGAACCTTAAACATGCCCAACTATTTCAGATGAATGATAACCATTTTATTAACAACAACTAAAACCAATAGAAAACCATTAGCTATCTAAGGTAACCGGCTTCAAAGTTGGAAATCAGATCCGACCAAAAAGAAAGCCCTCTCCCAAATGCATAGGCCATTTTGTGGAAGAGCTTTCTGGCTAATATCTGGGACTGTTTATTCTTTTTTTAAAATGTTAGGGAAAAAAAAATCAGCAACTCTTTCCAATATTTTAAAAGATCTGGCCTAAACAGTATCAATAACAGCTTTACATCAAGATATTCACACAGTTAACCATTCTTTTTTATAAATTTCCCTACTAAAGTCTTTCCAACAAATTGTATGAAATAATAACGAGAATGTGAAGTCCTCTCTTCCACTAAATAAAATTATAAAATGACATTCAAAATAAATTTATAAAACGACACTCATTTGTTACTAATAATAAATGTACCCATCATTTATATGGGGAGGCACAAAATGGGGAAATATGCATGTCTACACACTCCCAGATAATCCAGCTCTGATAGATATACCAGTGGAGTCAACCCCAAGGACAGATTTTGTAAAAAAAAAAAAAAAAAAAAAAACAACAAAAACTCCCATACAGAGAACACTACAGAGCAGAACGAAGCAAAGAGTTCACTCACCTGGCTGTTTTCCCCTATCCACGCTGAGTCCACAGAACTAGATACATCTTTTATTGTGCACGTCGCTGTGAATTCCTCCCCTTCTCTAAGAAGGTACCTTGCTTTGGACACGGACACAACCGGTACAGCTTTGAAGGCTGCAGGCAAAAGAAACATGGCCCTCAAACAATGTGTTCTGCCACAGCATGAAAGTTTAACTTGCCATTTGTCAGTGTAGCCTACTCTGTCGTCTTTTACATGAAATACAAAGGGTGGCACTGACCTAGCTGCATTACGTGCATATCTGAAGAAACCAGCAATTAAAGGCATGTATCCTTCAAGCAAATTCACTAATATTGAATGAAAGAGATAAGAAAGGTCACTATGAGATTATAATGCTTCTAGAAAATGCTTTCTCAAAACAGGGTGAAGCCCTATTATAGTGAAGCAGGTTTTTGTTGTTGTTGTTGTTGGGTTTTTTTTTTTTGTGAGACAGAGTCTCGCTTTGTTGCCCGGGCTAGAGTGAGTGCCGTGGCGTCGGCCTAGCTCACAGCAACCTCAGACTCCTGGGCTCAAGCGATCCTCCTGCCTCAGCCTCCCGAGTAGCTGGGACTACAGGCATGCGCCACCATGCCCGGCTAAATTTTTTTATAGATATTAGTTGGCCAATTAATTTCTTTCTATTTTATAGTAGAGACCGGGTCTCTCTCTTGCTCAGGCTGATTTCGAACTCCTGACCTCAAGCAATCCGCACACCTCGGCCTCCCAGAGTGCTAGGATTATAGGCGTGAAGCAGTTTTAATCTTTACCTGGACCACCTTGATGGTGTCGTGAAAATGTGATCTACAACTTATTATATATTCTTTTAACCAAACAGGCATCTTTCCCATGTGAAAATACTACCTTTCTTGCTTCTGGAAACCCCAAGTTTTAAATAATCAAACTTTCTTTAATTTCAGTAAGTATACTTTTTCATAAGCCTTAGTAAAAACTCCACTCAATAGCTGAATGCCAACTGGTGTTGAATCAGATGATCTCTGAGATACAAAACCTGTATCTGTATAGGTACAGACCCTATACAAAACCAGCTAACGAAACAGTCTACATAAGGCCACAATAATAACCAGGTCCACTCTCAAACTGTTCGGGATCTCAGATCAATTGGTACTTTCCCTCTTGCATCTCGACCAGTTTTGAGAATGCATTAAAATGAATCAGCTGAAGAGAAAAAGTCAATTCTCATGTCGACAGCCAATTGAAGATTGCTTCTCAGCCTTTTGGCTAAAGTCAAGTGTAAACCAAAGCACGAATAATCTATTCATGCTAATCTATGCAATAATCTATGCAATAATCCATGCATGCTAATCTATGCAATAATCCATGCATGCTAATCTATGCAATAATCCATGCATGCTAATCCTTGCAACCAGTGTAAGTAAAGCCTCCCCATGGGTTTCTGTTGCACGGAATACTCGGTGCAATGACGAGACTTTGGGGTAACCCAAGTCAGCCCAGTCTAAATGCCAGTGTGAGGCAGGCACACCCAACTCTGCCAGAGGCAGTCATGGACCCCGTCACTGGGATCGGGACAGTAAAACAAAGAATTCCCGTGCAGGTGACATTACTTTGAAGCTGGGGGAACTACCCAAGAGCCAGATCCCAACTGATCACACTGGGGTGCACCAGCGGGTAGAGAGAAGTCTCTGGACTCGCAGATTCTCGACGCCCAGAAGAAACAAGAAGAGGGCCAGTACCTGGCCTCACTTTCAGGATGATCTTGTCGGACAGCACCGCCTTGCCCTCCTGGTCGGCAGAGCAGTGTAGACAGAGCCGGTGGTAGGCGCGTTTCACACTAAGGATGGTGATGCCAGCCTTCGGGTCAGGGACGAACCTCAGGTCCTTGGGCAGGGGTTTCCCCTGGCAACCCTTGAGGGAGTAATTGGTCACCTCCGGGTCTGTCAAGGGACACCGGACCAGCGTGTCGGTGTCTTCCTTCCCGTACAGGGACCGGTCAACGAGGAAAAGCTTCGCAGGATCTACGAGCACATCAAAAAATCAGTAGTTTAAAATTTTTCCAAAAGATCTAAAATGTTGCATTTCGTGCCTGCTGGCCCGAATGGCCGTTGGCATTTTTTTCTCTGCAAGCAAAAGCAAAATGTGTCCAAATAGTGCTCACGAGCTAAGAGTTAACCTTAATTAAACACTTTCCATGTTATCAGGCTTAGACTGCCACCCACCTTATCACGTTTAATCTTCAAAACACCCCTAACAGGATCAATATTATCATTGTCACCATTTCAGAAATAAAACCGAGGTCTCCAAAAAGCCACTCTCCTAAAGTGACGTGACTTGGAAATGGCTGAGGGGAGCTCCAACCCAGGTCTGGCTGAGAGCAAAATTTGATTTCTTACAACCCTGAGAATATTCTATTACTAATGTGACTCTTTTTCTACAACAGGCAATACTGCAAGGCTCATCAGCAAAGAATAAGCCAGTCTTGATGAAAGCTGGGGAGGGCAGGAAAAGCTTTCCTCTGTGTGGGACCCTTCCCAGTTTCTAGTCCTCTGACGTTAAGCTTCTGAAGAAGACTCTAGAAAACTCTGGCCAGGCCACTCAGAACAAATAACGTGTGAGCCTCACTCTAATCATATTCTCCCAAAGAAATGTGTAAATACAACTTCCGGAAATCAAATAATTTCAAATGCACGAGGGTCGCTTATGAGTTTCAGGAATGCAGTGGCGAATACGGGAGTCCAAGCCAGGGCACCTGTGATGAGAAGGGACACTACTGATCACTACGCAGGACACCAGGGACAGACGGGGAGTGGCTCCGGCTGACGGGGCCCTCCTACAAGCAAGGACAAACCCGATTCTGGCATATACAATACGCTGCCACCCCCACTGTGTGACAACAACACAGATATATGCTCAGGCCAACAGATTACATTTATTTATTTATCTATTTATTTTGAGATAGAGTCTCACTCTGTTGCCCGGGCTAGAGTGCCGTGGCGTCAGCCTCGCTCACAGCAACCTCAAACTCCTGGGCTCAAGCGATCCTCCTGCCTCAGCCTCCCGAGTAACTGGGACTACAGGCATGCACCACCATGCCCGGCTAATTTTTTCTATATATGTTTAGTTTGCCAATTAATTTATTTCTATTTATAGTAGAGACGGGGTCTCGCTCTTGCTCAGGCTGGTTTCGAACTCCTGACCTTGAGCGATCCGCCCGCCTCGGCCTCCCAAGAGTGCCAGGATTACAGGCGTGAGCCACCGCGCCCGGCAACAGATTACATTTAAAATCTGTTTTACAATCGTCCTTTCCATCTAGAAATTTTCATTTCACTGAAGTGAAATGCATTGGACATCACTGAAATAGACTTCTATCATTTACTTTTGACCAATTTTGAAAAAAAAAAAAAAAAAAAGTTTCCCAAAAAGAATTACACATCTCCCAGCCTTATTAATTTATTCTGCAAATAAATCGCTTCCTAATGGCTGAACTATATGTGTGCGGGGTCCAAGGCCATAGTTAGTTATTTTTTCATCTACTCTTTCTCAATCACTGGCTCCTCCAACTGTGGTCCTCTTTCTTTCACTGCTGTCACGTAGATTACTTAAGTATCCCAACATCTTAAGTCAGTAATAGCTGAGGATAGCTCTTGAGTTACACAACATGACTTCCCCTACAAAGAAAGTTTGTGAGCTCTGTTAACAGTGATCTGATTTGGCTAATTCGCCAGTGTTCCTTTATTTCTTCAGTTGTCATGACACTTCATGACCACCTGGAAATTGCAGAACGCCTTGTTCAGTGTCAAAGAACAGCACATGGGTTAGCCCAACGATTACAGAGCCATGCCCTGAAACGGTGCTGCAGTTTGTCAGTGTACCTGTGTAGGAAAAGACAACTGATGGCCCAAGCTGAGAGGCACAATTCCGTGCAACCTCCTTTACAGCGAAAAGGTGAGTTGGCTTTATTAATCCTTGATAGAGCATGTTAGAATTCGTTCAGTCCTGAGTCCCAAACAACAATTATGTAAGGAAGACAGAGCAGATAATCTTGTCCAAATACTGCAGTGAGGAAACCGAGACTCGAGGTAGCTCAGATCTCCAATTCTACGATAAATTCGTTATTTGTTTGCAATACCACGGATAAGGCCTGAGACCTCCGGGCTGCTTCAAATACAGCCCCAGTCCCAGGACAACCAGGACTAGAAACTAGGACCCTCTCTCTCTTCCTGGAACTTGGACACACCCCTTAAGATTTCAGCAGCTCAGATTTTACATCAACCAAAGGACACACCTCAACCCAGCACGTCTACCCTTGACAAGGCCATTAAACGCACGAACACTGACAAACCACTGAATTTGTCATAGGAAATAAGTATAGAAATCCAACCCTCATATTTCCTTTCCTTTTGTTTCTAAGAGGTCACAATTTTTGAGATGAATCAGCTCTACAAAGGACCTAGGACAGGCATGCGATGTTTAGCTGACCACATAATTTTTCTGGAATTTACTCCCTAAGAGCGAGCCAAATCTTTTGAAGTGTCAGTCTTGGTTAGGGCTTTAGAGGCCTTTGGATCCCAGAAGTGTTTTTTTTACTAAGTGGGAGTATTCTAGCATCTTAAGGCATTAAAATGCTGCTTTCCCAGAGGGCCTCATTGATTCTAAAGGTTTACGCAGAGCACCGGCACGAATGGGCTAAACCTACTGTAATCTCATTAGGGAGAGCATCCTGGGGCTCCCAGACCTCCACCTGGGGCCGTCCCCAAAGCCACCCTGTATCAAAAGATGGGGGAAACCAGCAAAGAAACATGTGTTTTAGGCTTTCTAGCCCTAGCCAGTACTATTTTATCTATGGCTCAGTCATGCAAAATTAAGAACCAGGGAACTGCGTTTTCTGAAGCACAGCAACCCAGAAAGCCAAGAATGTACCTCTGACAAACACATAGATGGAACTGCTTAAGCCTCCTTCGTTGGTGCACGTGTATTTGCCGGTGTTGGTGGCCTCCGCTTTTTCTGTGACCCATTCGTTGTCCTTACTCTCGCTCGTTTCACCCAGGGTCTCAAAAGTCCATTTGACAAAGCCCGGGTCGGTGCACAGCAGCTTGATCTCGTCGCCCACGGCGACTATTAGCTCTGATTTTGCTGGCTGGATGGATGGCAGAGACGGTCCCCCGGGACTCGCAGATGGTTGAGAAGAGCCTGCCAAGGAAAACAAGAATCACGTTGAGTAGGAGCTTCTTCCTCGACGAAATGAAAGCCTTGCTTCCAATGCCCAGTGCCATCTTCTGAGTCTTCTACAATAAAAACAGGCCAAAGCTGCCCTGCTATTTATGGCTGGAAAGAGAGCTCTGTCTAAAGTCTCTTAAGTTCATCCAGAAAATTAAGTGACTTTCTGCAACCCTCAATTAATCCTAAGGGTCACATTCGGTGTCTGAGCCAGGATGCTGGATGCCACGGCCTTTCTTCAGGTTAAACATACAACTGGGTCAAGTGTCCATTCGGAATACGGGCCACTGTCATGGTATGAGCATGCGACGCTTGGCTTAGAAACAACAGAAACAAAATTTCACACTATGGGAAAAAAAAAAAACAAAAACTGTTGGCCTGTCACTCTTTTGGCAGAATGTGCATGACCATGACCAATAGCTTGTCTTTTTCTTACACTTAGTGAATTCAGTTATTTCTATGTAAATTCTCCTTACATGGCAGTGTTGATCAAAAGGAGAACTAGTCACAAATGTCCAAAATAGTAAAGGCAGAAAATGATATGACCCCATTTTAAAGATCAGACCAGGAGATATTTTTTTGGCCTCTGCTGAGCTTCAAGCTGATCAACCTAATAATGCCTAGATAGGTTTCCTAGATAGGGAACTAGCTTGTCTCGTTTATAAAGGTCCAAACTTTAGACTCTGAATATGAAACTCGAACCTTAGAACATGTACAGTGGCCAATGCATTCACTCATGCGTGCATCCGTGCATCCAAATATCTGTTCATTAATTATGATCAACAAAAGCATCGTGCTAGGTGCTGGGAAAAAGTCCACGTGGGTATTTGTTACACGTGGTCCTTACACACACTTCGGGGCTTAAAGAACGACTGTTGACATGAAACACAGCTACAGGGCATAGTGTCGAGCTCAAGAAAAGAGGGGGGCCAGACCTTGACCATATTAGAAGAGGCAAAGGAGAAGGAGGAGAAGGAAGAAGCATGAAGAAAGGGCTGGCAACCGAGGCCAACATACGAGGTCTTTGGAGCTGTAAAGAAACCAGCCTAGGCCGGGCGCGGTGGCTCACGCCTGTAATCCTAGCACTCTGGGAGGCCGAGACGGGCGGATTGCTCGAGGTCAGGAGTTCGAAACCAGCCTGAGCAAGAGCAAGACCCCGCCTCTACTATAAATAGAAAGAAATTAATTGGCCAACTAATATATATATAGAAAAAATTAGCCGGGCATGGTGGCGCATGCCTGTAGTCCCAGCTACTCGGGAGGCTGAGGCAGGAGGATTGCTTGAGCCCAGGAGGTTGAGGTTGCTGTGAGCTAGGCTGACACCACGGCACTCACTCTAGCCTGGGCAGCAGAGCGAGACTCTGTCTCAAAAAAAAAAAAAAAAAGAAAGAAAGAAACCAGCCTGGCTGGAAAACAGGCTCCTTGGGGAGAAGGGGGGAGGTGACACTCAGCGTCTGGGTGCAAATACTGGGCTGCACCAGGAGCACTCACTGTGGATTTTTCTAGCAGAAAAGTGGCACGCACCGTGAGACACCAGAGAATCAACTAGATCCAAGGAAATGAGTGAAAAGCGCTGGCCTACAGGCAGAAGTAACGAGAACCTGCGGTAAGGGTTGCGAATAAAGAGGAAGAGATTCGGCCAGGCGCGGTGGCTCAGGCCTGTAATCCTAGCACTTCAGGAGGCCGAGGCGGGCGGATCGCTCAAGGTCAGGAGTTCGAAACCAGCCTGAGCAAGAACAAGACTCCCGTCTCTACTAAAATTAGAAAGAAATTAATTGGCCAACTAAAAATATATTAAAAAGATTAGCCAGGCGTGGTGGTGCATGCCTGTAGTCCCAGCTACTCGGGAGGCTGAGGCAGAAGGATCGCTGGAGCCCAGGAGTTTGAGGTTGCTGTGAGCTAGGCTGACGCCACGGCACTCACTCTAGCCTGGGCGACAGAGTGAGACTCTGTTTCAAAAAAAAAAAAAGGAAGGGATTCAACAGATTGTTGGAGAAAGAACACGAGAATGGTTACAGGGAACTACAAAGCAAAAGGTTGACTGGGGACAGCCTGAGTTAGCGGCAGAAGAAGGGTCCCTGTGTGGGGTGGGGGGGGGTAAGATGTCAGGATTCTCCAGGGGCTTTCTGTCACCTTTGTAGGGTCGTGGGGGACACGGTGCACACACATCGGATTGTGATTTGTGATTTGTGCCACCTTCCCCGCACACACAGGGCAGGAGACAAGGACTGACCTGAGGCCTTAAGAAGGAGCAAACGCCATCCCAGCCCGGAGAAGAAAGGGGTAGCAGGAGGCAAAGAGCGGTGGCATAAAGGGCGCGAGTGTGAGCCACCAAGTCCAGGATGGCTGGGGGCGGAGGACAGGGACGTGCTCAGAGCGGGCGGGACAGGAGAGGAGGGACCTGCTCACAGGTGAACCCGGTCGGTGCACAGACTTCTCAGCAGTGGGCTGCTCGCAACCTGAAGCTCACAGTCATGGTGAAGTGGCGAAGTTAAAAAACAGGATCGGGTCATCAAAGGACAGGGTTATGGAAAAAAGGAGGAACCCACCAAGCACCAATTTTTTTTTTTTTCTTTTTTAATCAGCAGGCTTTAAGGTCCAGCAATCTCAAGGAACTCTTGCGGCCAAGAGGAAGTAGGAAAGAATCATGAGAGATGTAAGACAAAGAACCAGCAGGAGGAAAGGGGAGAGAGGTTAAAGAGGTGAAGACGGCAATCAGCGAGGCAGAATCCTTCAAAGTGGCTCTCAGGGTGGATGCCACAGCAAGGTCACAGGGAACGAACAGAAGTCCCCCGATTTAGTCACAAAGAGATCCCTGCAAACCCAAGAGCACGATTTCAGTTGAGCGGGAGTGGCCTGTGCCCGGGGCTGTCGCAGACCTCGTCTTCGATGGCCACGGCAGTGCAAGACTCGAAAATAAATCTGGAGCCAAAGGAGGCTGAAAGGCAAAGAAAACAGGAGCCCTCCTCCCAGCGTGGACACGGGGGACAGTCTGCGGTCGGGGACAGAACGAACGCCACAGAGAGGCCGGAGCTGCTCCCTGCAGGAATGCGTACAGAGTCCAGACTCGGTTCCTAGCTCCTACCCGGACAAGTATCTCGCCCGGTGGCAGCCAGCGCAGCCCTATGTCACGCCAAGCACAGTAACAGTACGGTCACTTATAGCCTTTAAATGGCATCAGGCACCAACAGCACGGGGAAGAGAGGGGCTCCTGTGTGCACGAGGCCCGGCATCCGGATGGAGCGGCCAGGATGAGGACACGGAGGCCGGGATTGGGGACACGGAGAGGCTGGGATCGGGGACACGGAGAGGCTGGGATTGGGGACACGGAGAGGCTGGGATTGGGGACACGGAGAGGCCGGGATAGGGGACACGGAGAGGCCGGGATCGGGGACAGGGAGAGGCCGGGATAGGGGACACGGAGAGGCTGGGATGGGGACACGGAGAGGCTGAGATGGGGACATGGAGAGGCCGGGATCGGGGACAGGGAGAGGCTGGGATCGGGGACACGGAGAGGCTGGGATCGGGGACACGGAGAGGCCGGGATAGGGGACACGGAGAGGCTGGGATGGGGACAGGGAGAGGCTGGGATCGGGGACACGGAGAGGCTGGGATCGGGGACACGGAGAGGCTGGGATCGGGGACACGGAGAGGCTGGGATGGGGACACGGAGAGGCTGGGATTGGGGACAGGGAGAGGCTGGGGTTGCGGACAGGGAGAGGCTGGGATTGGGGACACGGAGAGGCTGGGATTGGGGACACGGAGGGGCTGGGATTGGGGACACGGAGAGGCTGGGATTGGGGACACGGAGGGGCTGGGATTGGGGACAGGGAGAGGCTGGGGTTGGGGACAAGGAGAGGCTGGGATGGGGACACGGAGAGGCTGGGGTTGGGGACAGGGAGAGGCTGGGATTGGGGACAGGGAGAGGCTGGGGTCGGGGACAGGGAGAGGCTGGGATGGGGGACACGGAGAGGCTGGGATGGGGGACACGGAGAGGCTGGGATGGGGACACGGAGAGGCTGGGATTGGGGACACAGAGAGGCTGGGATAGGGGGCACGGAGAGGCTGGGATTGGGGACACGGAGGGGCTGGGATTGGGGACAGGGAGAGGTTGGGGACACGGAGGGGCTGGGATTGGGGACAGGGAGAGGCTGGGATTGGGGACAAGGAGAGGCTGGGATGGGGACACGGAGAGGCTGGGATTGGGGACACGGAGGGGCTGGGATTGGGGACACGGAGAGGCTGGGATTGGGGACAGGGAGAGGCTGGGGTTGGGGACACGGAGGGGCTGGGATTGGGGACACGGAGAGGCTGGGATTGGGGACAGGGAGAGGCTGGGGTTGGGGACAAGGAGGGGCTGGGATTGGGGACACGGAGAGGCTGGGATTGGGGACATGGAGAGGCTGGGGTTGGGGACAGGGAGAGGCTGGGATAGGGGACACGGAGAGGCTGGGATTGGGGACAGGGAGAGGCTGGGATTGGGGACAAGGAGAGGCTGGGATGGGGACACGGAGAGGCTGGGATCGGGGACACGGAGAGGCTGGGATTGGGGACAGGGAGAGGCTGGGATTGGGGACAAGGAGGGGCTGGGATTGGGGACACGGAGAGGCTGGGATTGGGGACACGGAGAGGCTGGGGTTACTCTCAGAGTCATACAAAGCATTAAATAATAAAAATGGCAGCAGCAATAAGTAGAGATACTATTATTTCAATTATTTATCCCTTTTTAAAAAGTCGTGGTTCCACGTGAGTATGTGTGATATTGATAGTAAATCTGACCCAAGAATTTTTCAGCAATTTATATTGCAACATATTTCAGCTAATTCCATTTTCTCATGAGTCAACCCCAAGGATATAGACAGATAATCACAATCCAGTCAAATAAACACTGTTGCCTTCCCGAGATACCCCCCCACCCCCACCCCAGCCAGTGTAGACAAGTCCTAGGAGTGCGACCTAAGGCAGATCACCCC